TGTTTGCTAGCACACAAAAACACTCTTTCAGAGATTCTGCCCATTCAGCTTTCATTCTTTCAGTTTCAGCCCTAATGACCTCAAAGTTTTTTTCTTCTACACAAGCAACAGGTGTAACCAGTTCCTCAATTTGTTTCATTTGTATGGTAGAGCCCCAAAACGCTGTTCTACATCAGTGTTTTACAGCTCAACACATATGTTTTCCACCTGAAAGCTTAAGGGCTTCAAAGCTAAGACTGAATTTAACAATTTGTCAAATTCTGAAATCCTAAGAAAACAGAGAATAAATCTAGATCCCCTCCAGCTTGACTACGTGACATACTGTCTTGCTTTAGGTTCTACCCGTGTGAAACAGTTTATAAAACTAAATTCCAGCGGTTACACCTTCGTATTGTGTTTGAAACCGTTTGGAGGTGTGAAGCATTCAATATATACAAATGTATTGTATATCCATAGCAGATTTGGTGTAATAAATTATTGAGTGTTCTTGCACAGTTTGCTTTGCAACCTGGCTGTAACCTGTTCTGTGGTTTGATTCTACAACCCATGTATTACACCATGAATCGAGTTCAACACTGTCTGCGTTATCAAGGAATCAAAGCCGTAAATAACTGTGGTCCAGCCCATCATGTGATTCGTAAAGTCGCTTATAGTTGTGTTAAAAATTCGAGGCAGCAGTTCTTGAGGGCGGAGATAGTTTCATATGCCCGGGGCTTCTGTCAAGGACTGACCAGACAGCTTAAATCTCTGACTCACTGCTCATTTCTCAAGGTAAGAAGGAATTTCTTGATACATTTTTAACTCCAAATTTGGATCAGTGGCTGGAGCTGTCACAACATTTTCCTTTCTTTTGATGCTTGTGCTCTTCAGACAATTCGCCCACAAAGTACAGTCAATTCACTTTACAGTATACTTTGTCAAGCTCTTTGAGATGTTTCAATGATATAAGGTGCTATATCAACTGGAAGGATTATTATTATTATGTAAACAACCCAAATCAATCAAGTCTTCAATGTTTCTAATCCATTTTTAACAAAATTGTACGGATTACCCCAGGTTCGTAAACTTTGCTAAGTAACAGATGATAGTAATGTTTTTGGGTTGTACCCTGAGAGAATTCCTTTCTGTGGGTAAAGGTCCCTGTAAATTACTGAACCCGTTTACTGATCACAAACTAATATTCCAGATTGAGTGAGGGGAAATCTTTGGGTTGGGGCCACATGTTCATTTCACTTTGAATTTCGATTTTGATGCAACTTGTGTCCACATTAAAGCATGATTTATATGAGTCAGATCCTGCTTGCTAACAATATCAGGCATTGCGCTGATCTTGTCTGGGAAGTCTTCAAAAGCCACTCGATCTCAGAAATGTCTTTCTGAACATGCAAAGGGGTTGGGCAATTTACCGAACAGCGCAATTTCACCTCCATAGCAGCTTTCTGCTTGCAGTGCTAGCGTTTTGTTATGCATCTATTGCTCGTTGAACCATTTCAATGCAAGATCAGAAATATTAGCTAAGCCATATATGGTGTTATTGATGGTTTCCAAAATCAATTTAAACTGAATTGTTTGTTTGAAGCTACAAAACACCTAATGCTTTCAAACTGAAGAGTGTTTCTCATCAGGTTAAGCTCCGCTATGTTCTGTGATACATTTATAAATTTTCTACTTGGAAATACACGTTTGACACTTTAAGGAACAAGTTGGATTCATGATCAGAAATGAGCAGAAACATAAATACATTGACTGTGTATTTTGTAATTGATTTTGTAGTAAATAAACTTCACAATAAAACATCATTGTTTTAGGTTACGGCTAAATATAGCAAAATGAACTTAAATTGAATGTTGGAAAAAGCACATTTTAAGGTTTACATTTTCTCTCTGATGTGTTCCTACTTTTAGGATATCAGCAGACCCAAAAATCAAATAATTATTCATAATCGCACTGCTTTTACAAGCACTGCGACTTGATGTGACATTTGGTTGCTTGAAATGTATTCCACCCGAGATTTCAGTAACAATTCTGAACAACCCTTCTCAACAAAGAGTGCAACAAAGAGTGTTCTTATAACACCTGTCAGACCTCTGCCTGTACAGTGCATTCAGTATTGACTGAAAAGTTCACCGTGCAGAATAGAAAGACATGGAAAACTTGCAATTTTTTTTTAGCGTTTTATTCTAAGTGGAGTCCTGTAGCTCAGGTGGTTAGAGCACTCACCTCACAAGCAAGAGACCTGGATTTGATTCCCGGGCAGGGTGAAACTTTGGGAAAGTTTCCTTACTCCATATGCCTCTGTTTACCTAGTAGTAAGTAGGAACCCGGTTGTCAGTCGATTGGCTTCTCCAGGGATAATAATAATGTGGAGTCCTGTAGCTCAGTGGTTAGAGCACTCACTTTGCAAGCGAGACACCGGGTTCAATTCCAGGCAGGGCAAAACCTTGAGCAAGTTTTCTTATTCCACACGCCTAATAATAATCCCTCCCAAAAAATAAAACAATAATAAATCGGTCATTTTCAATCCCCGACTGTTTGTGGGACACTGCTGTGCGCAATTGGCTGCCGCGTTTCACCCACAAATATACAGTCAATTCACTTTACAGCATATTCTTTGAAGCGCTTTGAGACATCGAGAAGATGTGAAAAGCGCTATATCAATTGCAAGGATTATTATTATAATTCCTTTTAAAAATAATAATTTGGTCACTCAATCCACTACTGTTTGTGGGACACTGCTATATGCAATTGGCTGCTGCATTTCACCCGCAAAAGACACAGTCAATTCACTTTACGGTATATTCTGTGAAACGCTTTGAGACGTCTTGAAGACATGATAAGGCGCTATATCAAATGCACGGATTATTATTATTATTCATCAAAATGTCCCAAATCTTTTTATAGTCATTTTTATCTTGTGGGGACTTTTTGTAGTAGATGTACAGCACTGTAAGATCCTACAAACAGCCAAGAATTGAATGACCAATTTATCTGATGATAATTGGCTAAAACACCAGAAGACACTCCGTTTGCTTTTCAAAGTGCTATCATGGGAACAGACACAGAACTTCAGTTTAGTGAATGGTTTTGTCGGGTAAATAAAGAAAGACTATTTCTACTGATCAGTGCGTGAGTAAGTAACTTTTTTATTAGTGTCTGACACGTACGGAAACCCATCTTAAGAGTATCCAAACCACACTGAAAGTTTCATGCATCCCACCTACGTGTGGAAATTCATGTGAACTGGAGTGGAATGCTCACTCTCTCCCTGGAGGGAAGCATCCTGCTTGGCTAATTCTGGAAAGTATTAGGTGCAAGTTGGTAAGAGCCACGGCTCGGGGAACCCAGTTGGGGAAACTGTTGGAAGTCTAACCAGCAGTGTCTGGCAAGCTTTCCCGCTGCTTGTCCAGCTGGCACCCTACATGTTAGAACTTTGGCTTGCAGGGTTAAATTGCTGAGTGGGATGACTCTGTGTCTCCCATCAGTAATAAAAAGACATAAATAAAGGGTTAATATGAGAAGGCAAAAGGGAGAAGTTAGAAGAAATGTCTTTAGAGTGGGTTGTTCAGCAACACAGACGCTGACAATGGCCGCCTTCTGTGCTCTAACATTGTACCATCCTGTGATTCCAAGAGCTGTGTATGACTTGGCTCTCCTTTGTGTGCTGCACCATCTGTTTCTGAAGACCATTGGTATCTTAGAACATCAAGCAATGGCAGAGTCTGTGGTTATATATGTAAGCTCTGCACCTGACTGATATAAATCATGGTGTGGCATTACATTACCACAAAAGCTTCAAAAAAAGTTTCCCCCAGCAGCACAGAGGCAAACTACACAATGCCAGCAGAGAATTTAAGTTAAAGTGCAACGTAACAAAATGAGCTTAGATTGTTTCAATAAAATGCACCAACACAGAAACGGCCACATTGCAAGGCTTGCCTTCCACTCCCTTAAATTTCAGTGTGTAGCATGGGTTTATTGGTATTTCTGGGTTTATTGGGAAACAGCTCATATCATTCAGGACATGCCACATGGTTTTGCTTGGTTTCACTACCACTTCAATGGGATTTCTGTGAACTAAATGTGCTCTTGTTGGAGTCCTTATATCAAATCCTTGGAGAAAAATGTGCCAAGGTTTATTTAATACTACTGCCACAACAATAAGGGACAAAATAAGTAAGCAACTTTCTATTTTAAAGAAATGATGACACAAACATGGTGATTAATACCTGAGTTATTAAGTAATCTGCCTTAGTCAAAACTCAATTTTTTTAAAAGCAGGGTTACCTAAATTTCAGCTTTATTTTCTCAGATGTTACCTGAAGAAAAGGAAACTAATGTTTGCCTATTTATGTTTGTTAATATTATAAAAGCAATGTCTGAATGTTATTGCTCGAGCCATAGAACAATAGAAATCCAAGGGCAAGAAATCGGCAGCTGATGCTGTTGCCTCTTTTCAACAACAACAGCAACATGTTACATTTACAGTATATAGCAACACAGAACTTTTCACATGGGAAGGAATCCCAAGGTGCTCGACAGTTAAAGGTTTGCACTATTAGAAATAGCCCTCTTTTGGCAATGAATCATAGGGGTGAAAATTTCAGTGTTTCACTAACATGTGCAAAACCGCAGCGAATGGGTTAAAAAATGTCACATTTTTCACCCTATTATATTTGAAGGGTACTGTAGTTAAAAAAAAGTGTTGTACTCCACAGTATATACTGCAATTAATTGGCGGGGTCGTTAGATAACCAGAAGACACAAAATTAAGATAAGTGACAAAAGAACCAGAGGGGAAGCGATGAGAATTTTTTTTACCCAAAGAGTTGTTATGATGTGGAATGCACTGGCTAAAAGGATGATGGAAGCTGATTCAAAATTAGCTTTCAAAAGGGAATTGGATAGATATTTGAAAAAGAAAAATTTGCAGGGCAATGGGGTAAGAACAGTTGAGTGAGACTAGTTGGACAGCTCTTTGAAAGAACCGGCACAGGTACTTCCTTCTGTAAGATTCTATGATCCTATGATTCTAATCAAACTCTGTTCATTTGCAGGTTACATTTTTAAACGAGTGAGGCAGCCATCATAACAATGTCTACAAATGTAGATGTCTACAGCCCATATTATTTCCCTACTATGGCCAACTATGATGACTCCATATCCTCAAGTGTTGATTATGATTATTCAAGTGGATTGTGTGACAGAAGTGAGGTTAGACAATTCAGCCAATATTTCCAACCAGCCTTCTATTGGTGTGTGTGTCTGTTAGGTGCTATAGGGAATATTCTGGTTGTGGTGTTATATGCTTTCTACAAGAGAATAAAGACCATGACAGATGTTTATCTCCTGAACCTATCTATCGCTGACCTGCTTTTCCTCTGCACCCTGCCCTTCTGGGCACTAAATGCCAGCATAGGATGGAGATTCGGAAGCAGCTTGTGCAAAATTGTGTCCGGGGTGTACAAGATCAACCTCTTCAGCTGCATGTTTCTCTTGACCTGCATCAGCTTTGACAGGTATATTGCTATTGTTCTGGCGACAAAGGCACACTACTCAAAAAATAAAAGGCTTCTTCAAAGCAAATTAGTGTGCCTGTTTGTTTGGATAATTGCAACAATATTGTCTTTCCCAGAGTTTGCTTTCAGTTCAACAAATGAATCCCAAATGACCTGCTCATCGAATTACCCAAGCAAGAACATGAAAGTGGTAGCCTTTGCATTGCAGGTGACTTTTGGCTTCCTGCTGCCCCTGGTTATCATGATGATCTGCTACTCACTGATCACTTGGACTCTGCTCCAGACTAAAAGGTTCCAAAAGCACAAAGCAATAAAGGTGATAGTTGCAGTGGTCAGTACATTCGTACTTACACAATTGCCTTACAACAGCTTTTTGATAGTCAAATTGTTGGATGCTGACAATATTACCATAACAGACTGCAACACCCTCAAAAACGTGGATATTGCCACCCAGATAACGCAGAGCATAGCCTTCCTGCACTGCTGCCTCAACCCATTCCTTTATGCTTTCATTGGTGTGAAGTTCCGTCAACACCTCCTAAAATTTCTGAAAGACATTGGTTGCTTCAATCAGAGGCAATTCCTGAAATTATTTAAACCACAGCCGGGCACCAGTAAACGGTCCTCTGTAGTTTCAGAATCAGAAACTTTTGGAACATTTGTTTTGTAAACTCCAGGTTCAATACATTTAAAGAGGAGCAGGAGCATGGATGAATTGGATCTGAAATTGTGTATTAAGTAGAAATGCATCTAAGAAAAAAAATTGGGAATTCTTTTTTCTAATTCTACTTAATAGTCTTCACCATTGTTGTAATATAAGTGAATATTCATAGTTTGAAAATAATAGAAGAAACCTGCTAGCAGCTTAACCTGTCACAAACATCTTACTCTGCAATTTAATAACTCAAGCAAAACTAGTAATATGATCATACTGGATGTATATTTGAATGGCTTTCACTGGATGTATATTTGAATGGCTTGCGCTACTGGGGATAAAGAAATGGGCCTGTATTAGCCATGATTTGACATTCCCTAGAGGTTTGTGGAAAGGCTTGATGACAGACCGGAAGGCATTAGTCAAGGACAAACCAGCTGAGGATAAATGGGCATCCTTCAAAGACAGTGAATGCAGGACAACTACATACCCAAAGTCAAGTGCAGCAGCAGAGGAACCTTCCAACAAAAATACTCCAACATTGATCCTCAGAAATCATGAAAAGGAACGTTAAGAAAAAGCAAGATTTGCAAAGTTTGTACGCATACTGAGCTGAGCACCAGATTCTACAGGACTTTCAAAATCCTGTTACCCCCATAATGTTTTTTGCAGTGCTCTGACCAACAACTGAAACATGTGGAAGAATGATGATAATTGTATTTAGAGGTACATAATTGTATTCAGTACAAATGTTTAACTGTATTTAGATGTTTAGAGGATTGGTATGTGTGAGCGCCATCATTTTCATGGCAGATAATGATCTGCCGGCTTGTTCGGTGCAATATTTTCTGTAACATGGATGGAGTCATGAGGAAATTACTGGTATCAGACATTGTTACACTCGACTCATCTGGAACAGAAAATAAAAATTAATTGTAAGAATGAAACAAAGAGGGTGGGGGGTGGCGGTGGTGCAGGGGCAGGACTTTGCGAACACCCTGTACAGAAGGAGGTCAGATAAGAGATCAGGGGAGTTAAAAGAGAATTGGAAAGTGACATAGCACAGTGACCAAGCATAACGCCAAACAATTATACCAACATTATAACAGTAAGAGGATAGATCGGGAAGAAGTTAAAATGCTAGGGAATTTAAACGAGGGCTTTAAGAAACATGAGTCAGCAAAGTCATGAAATGACAACTTCCTGGACGTTTTTACTGGGGAGAGCACTAAAATATACCCCCCAACATCCAGCGGGATGGGAACTTCGACATCAGTGAAGCAGAGGTTCCAGAGAGGCTCATAGGTTACATGCATTAGACACAAGATACGTAAAGCACTGACAGACTTTAACAAGGAGTTGATCACGACCTGGGAGGGTCTGACATACTGGAAACAAGCGAGTTTCCCATATTTTAAGAAAAGTGACAGAGACAATACCTGGCAAATACAAACCTGTTGGACAACCTCAAGAATTAGAAAATCAATACAACAGCAACAACAAATTACATTTGCCTTTCACATCGGGAGGATGTTCTAAATCAATTATTAGACACAAACTAGAAGATTATTTTTATGAAAATAATCTAATAAATAATCTGTAAATTCTGCTCCACTTATTCTCAGGGATGATGTAGTGCAAAAGCAACAGAATGAATAAAATCAGAAAGAATTTCTTCACAAGTTGAAGAAATGTGTGTGTATTCTTTCAGATTTTAATCAGTAGCACCATCTTACATCAACAAAGTAATATTGATTATATTTGTAAGAAAATATAGCAGCTATTTGTGCACAGCAAAGTGCCACAAACAACTATGAATTAGACGAATGATTCATTTTATCTGAGGATTGTTGTCTTGGATACCAAGAGAAACTCCCTTCTCTTTTTGAATAGTGTTGTGAGATGTTTAATGTCCCCCTGAACAGTCAGACAGGATCTTGGAGGCGAGAGTGCTACCAATTAAGGGAGTTGACCAAATAACTTATAAATTGATTTAATGCCTATTTTTTTCAATTAATGAAAAGTTGATATTCCGAAAAGTGCTTTCAGTGTTAGAAACATTTCGTTTTTATTGCAACATTTCAAATGGCCTGATTTTTGTAAAAAGAAAAGTTGCTTTTATAGTAGTACAGTAGTTTGTAATTTTACTTTCAGCAATATTTGACAGTGATTTGAGCATTGAGCTGTTTTGGGTCTTATTGTTTATGTTTTGGAAATAAAGCCATAAGATTTTTATGTGCATGACAAATGTCTCTTATTCTTCTTGCTTGGTATGACTATTCATTCTTTACGATGCACACAGTAGAAGTGAGTGCTGACTTTCAGTGAGTGCTGAGTTTTTTAATAGTCCTCCACCCCTGCCACATTGCCCGGCTCCGCCACTGTCTCACACCACAGGCCGCTGAATTCATCATACACAAATTCATAACATCCAGGCTTGACTATGCAAACTCCCTGCTTGTTGGACTCCCCAACTCCTCCCTCCGTAGGCTACAGATCATCCAGAGCTCTGGAGCCAGTGTCCTCTCCCGCACCAGACTCCGTGACCTATCCCTCTGCCCAGCGGGCTCCGGCCTGCTTCACGTCCACTGCCTTCAGCTACTCTGCCCCCAATTGGGAATGAATAAATTACCATTGAGTTTTTGTTTGGTCAGCCGGGTGTCTGACACATGCAGAAACTCATCACCATTCTTAAAAGTATCCAAACCAAGCTGAGATTTCCATTCATCCCACCTACACATGGAAATCCCAGAGATAGATTGTTGGAATGGAATACGCACTCTCTCCCTGGAGGGACACGTCCTGCTTACCTAATTCCGGAAAGTATTAGGCGCAGGTTGGCACTCAACTCATCATTGAGGGAGTGATAGGGGATCACTGAGATTACAGCCTATATCAGTACTGGAAATTGCTTCACCCTGAGTGACACAAACATCACTGGGTGACCAGGGATATACAAGAACAGCAACTTGCATCTATATAGCGCTCTTTACGCAGGGTAGCTTCCCAGAGCACTTGACACTGGTGGAGTCTGACCCCGAGCAAGGGGGAGAGGGAGGGGGGAGGTGACCATAAGCACAATCAAAAGTGAAGGTCTTCAGGTTAGATTTCAAAGTGGGGAGGAAGGGCCCAAGGTGGAGGGATTGAGGGAGAGAGTTCGGGCATAGTGGCTGAATGCGTGACCTCCAATGGTGGAGTGGAGGAGGCAAGGGACAAACAGGAAGCTGGAGCCGGCTGAGCGGAGGCGCCGGGTGGTGGATTGGGTAGTGAGAAGGTTGGAGAGGTGCCAGGGAGTGAATGGATTTGAACACGAGTGTGAGGATCTTGGTCGATCCATTCAGTGATGGGGAGTCAGTGGAGCCCGGCCAGAACTGGTGAGATGTGGGTACGGAGTTTGGTCTTGATGTCTGCCAGACAAGCTGATAGAACATCGGCGGACCTGGAGTTGATGCTGAAGGAGGCAAAGTAGATTTGTGTGTCATCCGCATGCAACAACAACAACAATAAAATTACATTTATAGAGTGCCTTTCACGTTGGGAGGACGTCCCAAGGTGCAAACGTGGAAGTTTATTCCGTGTCTGTGAATGACATCACCGAGAGGGAGCACATAGATGAGGAAAAGTAGAGCGCCAAGGATGAAGCCCTGGGGTACCCCGCAGGTGACCGGGTGGGGGTGGGAGGAGAAACCATTTATTGATATGAAATGGAGGCGGTTAGTTAAGTAGGACTCGAATCATACGAGTGGGGCCCCATTAAGGTAGATGAGGGAGGAGAGCCGATGGAGGAGGATGGCATGGTCGACTGTGTCGAACGCAGCAGAGAGATCCAGGAGGATGAGGAGGCAGAGGGAGCCATGTCGTTTGTGACTTTGACAAGTGCTGTTTCTGTGCTGTGGGCAATCAGGGTGAAAACCAGGAGGGAGTGAAGGGGGAAGTGTGACTGAAGTTGACCTGCAACAATGCATTCCAGGACTTCAGCAAGGAAGGGTAGGTTGGAAATGGGACAGCAGAATGAGACCACGCGATAGTATGAGAACAAGTAATTTATAGAAAAAACACTTAGCTTTTCAGTTGATGGTTGGAACGCAATCATTGTTTCATACTAAAGTTGTTGTTTCATTGAATGGTAAATATGACTCATGTGGAATATAAACTAGTATCACAGACCAATATGGCCGAAGGGCTTGTTTCCTTGCTGTACAGTTTGTTTAAATCTATGGAATATGTTGGTGTATGTGATGTTGTGAAATACAGTAATGACTGCAGGATAAGACAGGTTTGAAGGTCCCTGAACAGTCTGGATAAAAACAAATTTGTAAATCATACTTTTCACTCAAATTTCTTTTACAAATGTGGCTCCATTGAGCAATCGTGTATCAGTCGTCAGGACAATTTCTAGAAAAAAATGTTTTCAGTAAAATGCATGGACGAGCACAGCAGAACAAGTATTATTTAAAGGTTGGTTTAAAGTTTGGCCTTTATGAGGCTGAAATATAAATCTGTAAAGCTCGTGTGGGAATGCTTTAAGATGAGTCAAAATGTAAGCACATAGATGTATACTGACACTTTCGCTATGCTTCACATTAGTTAAGTCGGTTGAAACTGAAATGAATCTCAGATTGAGTAGCTATTACTCAGTTTCTATTCACAAGGCTTTCAAAAACACTTTTTTTTTATTTTCAATCAAAATCATGCAAAAGGCCTATTGTGCACATCCTCCAAGTCAGCATGGGTTTATACACAGCACCAGTGAAGGATCCTGCTTTGTTGAACAAACTGAACACAGAGTATAAAGCTCATGAAACAGTGGTGTAGCTCAGGTGGTTCTTGGGGGCCCTACACTAGTATCACAGAGGTTCTGGTAAAGATGGTCCATGTAATCTTCTTTACAAAGCCTCTGATTAACTTTTTTTAAAAAATACTATCCCTCTAACGAGACCCAGTGCTGCCTCTGCTGACAGCATTACTGCAATCTGGGTCTGGCAACAACAACAACAATAAAATTACATTTGTAAAGCACCTTTCATGTCGGAAGGACGTCCCAAGGCGCCGGACCCGAGCTGGGGGTCGGGGTCAGGGAGTGTGGAGGGCAGGGGGATCAAAAGCACGGTCGAAGAGGAGGGTCTTGAGATGGGTCTTGAAGGTGGCAAGGGAGGATGCGAGGCAGAGGGACTGCAGGATGGAGTTCTAGAAGATGGGGGCAGAGTGGTGGAAGGCCGGCCCGCTAATAGTGGAGCGAGAGAGGCGGGGGACGTGAAGCAAGCCAGTGCATGCTGAGCAAAGGGAGTTAGCAGGATGGTAGGACGTTAGTAGGTCGCAGAGGTAGGGGAGAGAAATTGGGAAGAGGTGGCTGGATCGGGGCAGACTGGGTGGTGGTACATGGGGGCACTGCTGTGGTCCATTTCAAATTCCTGCTACGATTGACGGAGTAGTTAAAAGTCTGGCATTGGGATCACCACTGGTGAATAGCTAGCAACAGGATTGACTGGAGCAGCCTGGGAAGACAGGTGAGTAATGGGATAGAGCAACGTACAGCCCCATGAAAGAAAGGTAGGAGCTATTGGGATAGGATTGTGGAGTCCTGTAGCTCAGTGGTTAGAGCACTCGCTTTGCAAGTGAGAGACCTGAGTTCAATTCCAGGCAGGGCGAAACCTTGGGCAAGTTTCCTTACTCCACACGCCTAATAATAATCCCTCCAAAACAAAAACAATAATAAAT